TTTTTATTAATAATTTTCAAAATAGGTGTTCCTATAGGTCACCTCACCTACAGAATTCTGATAAATTTGATTATATTAGAAGCCAAGAAGATTTGGAAATAATCAGATCTTCAAAGAACTGGTAACTAATGCATACTATATGCAGTCTAATGTATTTCAGTGTTCTTCTCTTCGAAACAACAAAAAGAAGTCAGATTTTCTACTGCAGAAATAATCTAGAAATTCTGAAAAAATACAGTATTATACAGGAATGTAAATTGTTCTCACAATTTAAAGCTCATTCTTATAGCAAATAGAATCAAGCAATAAAAGGGTATGGTCTGGGTATTTGTTATCACAGAATGGTTCTGTTATCATAGAATCCAAAACATGGCCTGTTGCCAGCTTTGTGTTCTATCTGTGTAGTGGCTTGTATATGAAGAATTTGGCAAAGGTCAAACAACTGCCCAGTAAGGAGATGTTGAATATTGACTGCTATGTGCCTACTGAGGACTGTACAGAAAATCTGAAAATATTTATTTTTATGATTTTTTTAGATGATGGCTATAGGCTATATTACTTTATAGCATTTGATAATCCAGCAGAACTCTTTCATTACATTTTGCTGAGTTTATTCCAGTTCTCTCAGCCTGAGATTTCTGTTTTAATTAAGTTCCCATATATTCGTGATGATGTGACAGAAAAGATTTATTAATTAATTTGCAAGCTGAATCTCTTTTTGCTTCAAATGAGATGTCAATATTATATATTTATGGCAAGGTTTAAAAATGAAAGGCAAAGCTATTCTTCCTCTATACCACCAGAAGCTAGGAGAGAAAGATCCTAGATGATATGATCCTATATAAAGATCCAAAGAGAAGAAGTAAAATTAACAAACATATGGTAAAAAATAACAATATATGGTTGTCCAATGAGTATAGCTCCTTTTTTGAGCTTAGATGCAGTTAAGGTAAACATACTTGAAATTCAATTGAATCCCAAATGTACTCAATCACATTTGAAAGGGATGATCTACAGGAGCCATACAGCCAGGTCTAGGATCATCTTCACCTGAATTACATTTCTTAGGACTCATTTGTTTAATTAAATACCTAGAAAGATTTTGAACTTTGCTCCTAAAAGAAGGCCTATGACTACAAACCTGGCTTTATTTATGGTTTTAAGAAGCTAAGATTAATGGTGTGTATAATTGCTTTATCAGTTTTCTCAACATAAATCCTAACTTCAGAGTCATCAAAGATAAAGTTTTGGAAAATTCAGTTTCTCTATAAATAGGCTTATGAGGCAAATTAAGGAATGATGGAACAATAATTACATCTCCATCCTATTTTTTGTTTTACATGAAGAAGATTTCAGTTTAAATCATGGAGCAATTCTGCCCTAATCTGCTGTCTTTCTCCAAACAGTCATTTCCAAATGAGATGGAGAACTGGAAATATTAACAGGAGTTATCCTTCTACTTTATTCTTTCCCTGACTACTTTAATGAACAATGATGCCGTAATTGCTTTAACAGATACATTTAATTTTTCAAATAGTACAGACATAAAAAAGGATTAAGGAATCAGAAGCCATAAAAATTTACACCTCTTCTTTCCTTTTTCTCAAAGACTTCTTTTGTGGGCACGGAAGATTTCAAGACCAACACTGCTGTTTATATCCAAATCTTTAAAAAATAACATAGAGTCAAAATCTCATTGTTCAGAATTAAAAATTAGTTTTCTTAATCGAGTCATAATTTCACTCTGTCCAATGACACTGGCTTCACAAAGAATATTTTTCCAGAGGAAATGCAATGGTAGAGTCCCAGAGAAGCATCATAAGCCAAAAACTGGAAAAAAAGTAATGTAATTGCGTAAGGAAAAAGAAAACATTCTCAGTTTCCTTCCCTTGTGCTGTAGAATGCGCAAGAATAAAACACATGTGAATAGTATTTTGTGAGGGAGAAAACTTTGCCCATTTGATCAAACTCAACCATCCAGATAAAGCCAGCCTGGGAAAAAAAAAAACAAACATACTTTTTAAAGAAAATAATGTGAAAAATTCCTAAGGATCTTTGAGCTTAATAAATGGCCAGAGCTCTGAGATAATAATGCAGTTGTATTGTAATACTGTTTAATGGCATTTGCTGTTAAATTATTCATATAATGATGCTACTGACTTGTAATTCCTTGAAAAGATGATCTTTCATAAAACCTGTATTACTCAAATGCTTAAGCTTTTAACCACTACAAAAATTGCAGATGACTTTGTGGGATCTATTAATGCCTCAAGGACAGAATGCTACAGCACCTGACTAAATATAGAGAAGAAAAAGAGAAAAGCAGACCTATAATCACTGTTGCTCAAGAGAGAAAATGCAGGCACTATGCCAATTCTTGCATTAACTATCACAAATCTATTAAGACATTTCTTCCACCTCAATTAATTTGCATTGTACTATTAATAATGGAGTAACTCCCGCACTCTTGATTTCAGGGTGCAATACCATGAATGCTACAATGCTCTAACATAAAAACTTCTATAGATCTGGCAAAATTATGAAACGCATATTTAGAAAAATTACCAAGTGGCTGAAGTTGGGATAATGCACTCATTATGTTTGCAATGTTCCCACATTACTTCTAATACATAACACAAAGAGTCACGGAAGAACTTAAATCTACAAGGCCAGAAAATTGCTAGACAATTAATTTTTTGCCCACTCCAGAAAGTTACAGCATTATAATGAATGCTGTAACCTCTCTTAAGCTCTTTTTTTTTGTTGTTGTTATTCTACCTACTTTTTGTACTTTTATTTAAGAACTACTATATTTTCATTTGCATATTGTTCATCTTTTTCTCTAATTTGAAATACGACATACTTAAGCATTTCATAAACTATCCCATTTCTTAGAGAACAGTTAGAGGACCTCAGACCAAAAGGAGGAAAGGCTGCATTTCAGTGATTTGTCAAAATATGTTATTTGGAATTTTATATATATATGTGTCACAGGATACTTATGAAATGCAAGATTTCAGGATTATGGTACTGGAAACAGTTTCTCGTACATCATAGAAAGCTGAGGACTAATGAGTTTTCTGATTGAGACTCTTTTTGGTGACATATAACTCATCCAGGAAATGTTTTACAAACACCAGGAAAACATAAGATATTTTGTGTGAAAATTTCGGATTTAGCTATTCAAGACTTCTCAAATGCTCAGGCAGCTCTTATGACCCTTATTCATAACAGCTTTAAAGGGGAGATATGATTTAATCCTCACTGGAGTTCCTTTGCATTTAACAAGTGTTAGTTCCCCAAAGCCTGTCCCTCCAACAGTTTATACAAGATTAGCTTTGATTCTCTTTCACTTCCACCATTTACAAAATTTCTCAGGATCCTCTGACCTCAGAGGCTTGCTGGTCATTCTGGAAGGCACAGGGAGGATGGAGGAGAGAGGACTGTGGAAAATGCTATTCCTTCGACCATGGTTTTTGTTTCCTTTGGAAATTAATTGATTAATCACTCAACCTAATCTTCCACCCAGTCTACCCAGTCTTAATGTCTAAATAAAAAATGACTACAAGTCTCTGTGATACTTTGTTCCCTCAGCATGTTTTGCACAGTAGATCAGTGAGATTATGACTACTTTTAATACAACTGAATTTAAATTTTATAAAAGTGACTAAAATAACACAAGTCTACATTCAGCATTAGAGGCTAGAGTACGTGCTACAGAGCTTTATCCATACAAGTATTTGTATGTTGTGGGTGATTCCTGTTGTCAGGATGAGCAGTGAGGGCTGAAGGAAAGAAGAGATAGAATTTTAAGAAAGGTGTCTCTTCTTCATATTATTAGTACCACATGTTCCAAGATCCTGCCCCTTTCTTTAAGGTGATGGCAAAGGAAACTGCTACCCAGGGATCAGATGTGAACTGCAACTTCACTTTAATGGTCTACAATCAAAGGAGATTTTTTCCATCTTAATATTGCACAGCATTAAGAGCAATACTGATGTAGAATTCTCATCAAAGGGATTTTACTGGCCCACTCAGCACTCAATCAGGAAAAGATTTCCCATTTGGGTTTTAAGTGTTCTCAAAGTTTTGACAACTCACATAAAACAAGCAACCTTAATTCCTTAAGACTAACCAAAAGCAAACTACATTCAATTTAATTCTGTACAAGAATTCAGAGATTTGCTGCCTTTTTTTTCCCCCCATTTAACACTTTCAGTTAATTCATCTAAACATTATAAATAATTGCTTTTTAGGGAACACCTATATATTCATTCCTCTCTCATTATTCATCATTAAACAATTTCATTAATCTACCAAGAGTATTCACGCTTCACAATACCACACCCCTGGCAAGGTCTTTTGCAACATTCATTTTGGAATATATGCAGTGCACCTTAAACCACTGAGAGAAGCACCATTGTAGTAGGAGGAGGCAGGGCAGTAATGGTGGTTGTAGTTACAAGGAAGCTTTGAAATGTGGCCTAGAATTACAAGGAGATGATCCTTTACAAATTTACAAAATTACAAAAGCTGATCCTTTATTTTGATTTACAATTAACTCCATTAAGCACAGTAGAACTGCATTACTGTAGAGTTAAGATTCCACAGATTAGGAAGCAGAAATTATTAAATTGTCATAATCCAAAACCAGGAAGATATGTTTGTACAGATGTCTGATTTATAAACAGGTAAACATATGTGTTTGCTTCATTACAAATGCCACCTTCACTCTGATATGCTGGCTTTCACAGAACACAGTATTTCAATCACAAAATCAGTATCTACATGGATCTTATCTGGTTGTTTTGACTGGAGCTGCAGGAGAATTAAAAGGATTTAAGACCTCATGCCCCTCCTTGAGGCTTTCTGCGGTCTTTTCAATTTCATTTTGGTCTGCTGATTTGCTCCCTATCATCACTACATCCAAATTTGATAAAAGAGAAATGTAACAGATGCCTCAGAGCAGTTTGCACTACAGATAGCACACAGCTGCTTACCTGTTTAACTGCATAAAGGAGGCGACCGTAGCAGTACATCATGACCATCACAGGGATGACCAAGCAGAATATGAAGAGACAGATGATATAGGATGTGGACTCAGCTGACTCTGAGGACCAGCGTACTGAACAGCTTGTACCTGCACCTTCTACCCCGTAACTGCTCCAACCGATCAGAGGTGGCACAGTCCAGATCAGGGAGTAAATCCATGAACCTCCAACTGCCAGTAACGCCTTCCGGTAGTCATCGCTGCGCTTGCTGCACAGGGTGAGAGTGCTGTAGCGCTCATAGGACAGGACGGCCAGGGAGATCAGGGACACGATGCCTGCAATGAACCAAGCAATATAAATGCTTACTTTCATTATTTTGCATGGTATCCATTCTAAATCTCAAGAAATGAGATGGTCTTTTGGTTATTACATATTTGAAGCAACGGTGAAAACTATTTCCATTGTTCTCTTTGCCTTAATCCTCACCAGACTTGGTTGCTCTGTCCATTTTGTCAAATTTTGTTTAACTCAGATTTATCTGATATTGGAAGACTTTTATACTTGAGAGATAGTCATCTTCTAGTCAGGTTTTCAGCTTTATCTGTTTTAGTATTACCCAAGGTAAATCGATTTTCTACCTGAGCTAATAAAATGGTGAAAGATTCTCTTGATAAGACCTATTCAATTTTTAACATCCATGAGCATTTTCAAATATTGCATCACCTTTTATACGTGCAAAAATAGCTGTATATTCAAGATTGGGAGCCCCATAATGAAAGAAGCTTTTACTTCTTTTGCTCTGCCCCATGAGCCAGCTGTACCTTCAGTTATAACCACTCATATATGGAAACATCAGACAACCACATCATGGCTGTGATATGGTAGGTTGTAACTTTATTTACAATTATATCACATCTAAAATAATCAGTCTAAACAGTGAATTAGATTAATATTGAGCCCTAGGTGTCATAAATCAGTCTTCCAGAAGAAGACTTAAAAATCTGGGTTGTAGGACATTTCCATTCTCTTTTTCAAGGTCCAGGATCCCAACCCCCTCTACAAAACTTTATGGTTTTCCATGGCAGGTTCTTAGTCATTACTCAATTGAATGGCTTTTGCTATTTCCTATTATTCTCCTTGCTATTTCCTATTCTTCTCCTTGAAGCTTCCTTACAGTTCTTGGAGACACAACACTGCATAACACTTCCAGGATTTATAAGAGAAGGAACTTGTTAGAAGACATTTAAAACCATCTTTTTCAATGGTTCCCAGTCCCCTTCTTTTGGTCCTGTAAAATGAAAAACCTGAATAGATCTATGTCAGTCCAGCTTCTTCCAGGACTATTTTCTCAATCTTTGCTATTAGCAACCACGAACTATACAGTAGCACTGAGACATGTAGCCTGCCAAAATTTTGAGTGGTACCCACTCCCACAAATCTGTTAAGAGAAAAGGTCATCTTCAGGGGAATCCACAGCTGTAATCCATTTTCCCCATTTAACTGTCAGCTTCTCCTGTAGCTCCTTCCCATGCATGGAATGGAGGTGAGTCAGACTCCCCAGGGAATAGCACTACTCTATCCTGGACCTGGGCAAAACATCCCACACACACACCCACACAGGGCACAGTGGGATATTCTCCTCAAGGCACAGCATTTCGCTCCTCTTTTCCTTACAGTCCAGGGACTCTGTTTCAGAGTCAGCTTGATACAGGCACAGCTATTTCTGTCATCCTGACAACAATTTGCAATTACTTTGTGCAGAGTTGCGTGTGGCAAAGGACCAAGGGGAAAGCAAGCACTGCTTGCTGCAATAGGATACTTTATTTCTCAGGGGAAGAGAAGGCAAAAGGGTGTGAGGAAAAGGCACCTTTAGAAGAAGAAAACATCTTTCTTGTTACAAGAGTCTACTAAATTATTTTCTATACAGTACTGGGAAGTCAGTCCTAAAAAGTAGATACATTTACAGCTGTAACAGCTGCACTAAATTAAACTGAAAAACTGACCCATTTTAAGGCTTAGCTATTTTAGAGGCAGCAGAGACATTCTGATCGTCCCTCATCTAATCTGATTTCCTACATAACACTACTCTTGAAAGCCCTTGGACTCAAGAACAAAGAATCTACTGCTTTCTTCTTGCTCTAAGCACACACTTATTTATCTTTACTTTCTTAGCAATGCCTCTTTCCCGTGCTTTTATCTGCTTGACTAAAAAGCTTCTCGCTATCAAAAACATTTAGCTCATGTAGGTACCTAAGGCAAAAATCCAGATTTTATATTTGAAACTTAGGCCTCAGTAAGATGATATAGATCTGCTTCTGTATTTTAGATCAGACAATCATGGTCTAAGAGCAAACTGTCTTGGGAACAAGAAATCTCTCTCTTCCCAGCTCAGTGCTCTACAGAAATGACCTATTGTAATTGCTGCACCTCTGATGGCAACTGAGGCCACATTTTCCCTACTTTGATGAGATGCACTTTTGTTGAGAACACCCGACACTCCTGCATGTGCAGTGTTGCCTAGAAAACCCAGATGGGGTATTCAAGCTTCCCTAGCTCAGGGCCCTGCTTCCTGGATGGCTGTTTTCACCATTGGGCTCTCTGGTCAAGCGTGGCTGACAGTTCTGCCCACTCATCCCTGTGGCTGTTCTCCTGCCCAGCAGCTTCTCCTGGTGCATATTGCCAGGATTTATGGCATTCGTTTAGACTTCCTCTTATTTTCACCTATTGCCTAATACAAGGAAGATGCTGAGCTTTTCTCATGATTGTATTTATGATGGATGACTTTACGGAGCAGATCTGAGGCCAACTGACTATGAATGCAGGATTAATTGCTTTGGGATGCAAAAAAGATGTGTCTTAGACTGGCATAGAATTAATGCTCAGATATTGAATTAGGATTGTGGTGATGTCAGTGAAGAATAAATCAAATATCACTCAGACAAAACAACAAAAGCTAACTTTAAATTATAGAAAACAATTTTTCTTCTCTATACAGAAGAAAATTAGAGACTCTTGATTGCACATCTTGGCAGAAGCCAATTCATCTTCACTCACCTTTTATTATTGAGCTCCACTGACATAACACAAACTATACTTTTCTCTGAGGACAAGAACTGTGATACGTGGAATCCCAGACCACAAAAGTTCAGAAAAAGAATCCAATATTTTTCTTTTTGGCACAATAAGACTTCAAGGCCTGGACTTTTTAATAGCACTAAAAATAATATCACTGTGAATAGACTTCTAATACTTTCAAGACAAAAAGGGAAAACGAGGAACACACTGAAAAGGTAGTTCATAAACGTTAATAAAAGAATTCAGCATTCTGCACATGGTTTAATTTCCTAAGGCCAGCTAACTTTTTAGAAAAATTACAATTACTTTCAAAGAATAGAACAGGTGCTTTGAAAGACAAAAAGGGATGAAATTAAGAGCCTAAAGCAAAATAAAAATTAAACACGTAGCTTTTTCCAACAGTGAGACACATTCAGCTGAATTGCCTGCAATGAAAACATCTATTACCCAGGTGAGGAAGAAATGGGAATAACAGAGGTCATGGCAACCCTCTCAGTCTACTTTTTGTGGCCTTGTGCAGCATATACAAAGCCACAAAACATACCCTGACCCTCTATACCACAACACTGCAGGTCCATCCAACCTTGCTGATGGAGGGCCTTTCACCTTAACGCAGAAGCCAAGACTGTTCAAAACCAAACTAGGATGCACATCAAGAAATAACCTTGTTCCAATGTTGTTGCAGATCAGCTCTAATATCCCTAATTGGTAAGAATACCCTCAACCTTTTAATTAAAACAAAGAAACGACCCCCCCAAAAAACCACACCTTTTTTTTTTAATCTCACTTTTTTTATTGGTTTAATAACTGAATCCTAGAAATAGACCACTATCATTTGATCACTTATAATGGATACATGGGCCTAATTTGATGGACTGAAACAACATAATTTAATAACACAGGCAAAACCAGGTTTTATGTTTTAGTTTGACACTGCCTGGAAGTAAAAAACAGACATCAGGTGTGTAACAGTGAATAGGCTGCCAGCAAAAAAATTATGATTGCCTTGTCCTTTATATGCTTTTCAATATCACCCAGTATAATCCTTTCCATAACTTTTCCAGGTGCTGATTTTAGACTAATAGGCTTATAGTTTCCTTGGTCCTCCCTCATGCCCTTCTTGTAATCTAGTTTGGCTAAAGTAGAATAAAGCTTCTCACTTTTCGTCATGCCTCCTAGCTTTGCCTCTCAGAGTTTTCTTAATGCCATGTGCATTTAGCTGTTGTGACCTTTGCCAGAAATCCTGCAGTTATATGATTCTCTATTTCATGCCCTATATATTTCAGTCAGAGGAATTAGTGAGAATCTCAGCTTTAAAACAAAAACCAATTAAATACTTTAGAATTCTCTCTGAGGAAAAGAGTTGAATGCAATCTCCATGCTCTTAATAACCAGAAATAAAAAAAAAAAAGTAAGTTATTAAAAGAAGAAAATAATTATAATTTTAATCATAATGCTTTATGCCAACATTTCATTCTTATTGTGCAGTAACATTTATGACTGTATAGACTGTATATATTAATTTCACATGAATAATTTTTTCTAAAATTGCAATAAAATTAGGTTCATGAATTGCAAATCTAAATAGAATCTGATTCCAACAAATATTGTAGGGCTTCAAGCTGGTACCTAGCCAAATAAATCCACAGGAGTCAATCACAGTGAGAAATGTAATTTGCTCCCTAAACATTTCATGCATATATAGGAACAAAGATGAGGTTCTCACTGAACTGTACTGAAAGATGACAAAAAATCCCCTGCAGATTTCATTACAGGAATAGATAATTATTCAAAAGTTAACCATGGAAATAGATGACTTTGAGACAAGTTGGATGTGGGGCATGAGGCTTTTCTACACAGCAATTACTTGCAGGGAGTAGAGTGCAAGAAATTAAATTTCAAGTCATAAAACAGGACAGGCATCTATTTATAGGACTATTATCTGAGACGCTACCTATTATTTACTTTATTTAAAGATCTGTACATTTCTCCCTGGCAGGACAGCACAGAGTATGCTGTGAAAGGCACAGCAAATTGTTGTGCTTTGTTCCCATGAGTCCAAGCTAAAAGTGTTACATTTTCTTATCAGTTTTTGCTGATTTATGCTGCTCACTGATGAGGTAATTGGAAAGGGGACACAGCTCACCCATGGTCTGCAGGTTGCAAAAAACTGAGAATCACAGAGATTCAGCCTACACTGGGTCAGTGTTTTGATTACTAACAGGTATATTTGTCCTCTTAAATCTCCTGAAGGTCATTA